GCACAGTGCAGGGCGTGGGCACTTGCTGGACGAAGACTGCCTCTTTTTTTTTTTTTTATCATTTAGCACAGTCGGGCGAGGGCTTGCCTAGAATTGTCGAGAACCTCAGCGTGGAGGTCCATGCCTGTGATCCCAGAATTTGGGAGGTAGAGGCTGGAGAGATGGATCAGCGTGAGGACCAGGTTTCGATTCCCAAAACCTACAGGACAGCTTTCAACCTCCAGTCCCAGGGGGATCTGCCACCCTCTTCTAGTCTCCGAAGGCACCAGGCACACACGTGGTGCACAACTTTATAGGCAAAACACTCATACACATGCATTTTAATTTTTTTCTTAAATTTAAGGCTATTGCCAAACAGTGGAGGTGCACACCTTTAATCCCAGCACTTCAGAGGCAGAGGCAGGCTGATCTCTGTGAATTCAAGGCCAGCCTAGTCTACAGAGTGAGTTTCAGGACAGCCTGAACTGTTACAGAGAGAGCCTGTCTCAAAAAAAGCTATATATATATATATATATATATATATATATATATATATATATATATATATATAGTACATGTATACATACATATATATATATATATATATATATATATATATATATATGTCTCTGGGATCTGGGCAGTCAGAAAACTTCCCCCAAGTCAGAACTCAGGACTATAAAATGAGGCAAAGCCTCCTCCTGCCTCCCTGTTCATTTTGAGGAAGGGTCTCCCTGCATGGCACAAGCTGGCCTAATCTCCATCATCCCCCTGCCTCTGTTTTCCAAATTCTGGGATTACAAACCTGGGCTGCCACCTGCAGCTCACACCAGACTAAAGGCCATAGAAGAGGCATGGGAGGGCTGGATCTCCTACTGACTGTAGACTTCATCGGGGATCTGCCAGCCTGCTCTCAGAATCGGAACAGACTGCAAATACACATGACTTTCTCCCACCTCCTATCCTAGATTCTGACAGTGGGTCTGGGCAGAAGCCAAGAGCAGTTTTACTGTCCCCTCCCCCAAGCTGGGGATGAAACAGAGACAAGTGCTCCACCATCAAGCCTCATCCAAAGTCAAGACACATTTTGAGCAAACTCCCAATTAGGGAGGAAAGCCCCAGTGCCCCTTCATCTCTGACACTGGTGGTTGGCGGTGGGGAGGGGAAGTCTCCAGGCCTGCTTCCTCCCCAAGCATACCCTATTCTCAGATTGCCATCAGCTGTAAACTGGTTCCTGGGAGACACATCTCACTCACCGTGTGGGGTCTGCTGGGTGAGGTCCTGTGAGTTTAGAGGCCCCCTAACAGGTGGGCTATTTGCTGGGAGAGCCCATCTTCCCACCTGCTGCCTCTGGCAGCCCCTCCTAGGTGCTTGCAAGTGTTCTTGGAGTCATTGTGATCAGCTCTCACCCATAGCTACTGGGCAGCAATGGGCACTGTGGCCTGGGGACAAGGGTGGGGCTTGTGTGTCCTGGATGCCAGGGCCACACCCACAGAGGCCTTGGTACTCCAGATGCTTAATCCAGAGAGGAATAGGCTAGTTTCAGCCATGTTTCCAGACCCAGAGGACAGTAAGAACACAGTGGGCCTGGAAACCCCAAACCAAGGTTAAGTTCATTTTCTGCTTCTCTTAGCTATAAGATGCTGATGGGTTTTTTTTATTTTTTAATTTCTGGGAGTTCTGTGAGTGAATCGAATAGATAGATGGATGAGCCAGTGAGTTGTGGTTGGGAGAGACCTGGAGGAAGCCCATGAGAGTGTAGAACTCAGGCTGGGGGACGAGGGTAGAGTTGAGACAAGTATACGCAGGTATGGTATAATTTTATGATAAAAAAAAGGGGTATCACTCCTATGCCCACAGGAGGCGTCATGAAGGATGTATTCCATTTTCTGTGACTTTCTTCAGAGGGGAGGAGGCACATATTTCCTCAGGGAGTTAGAATATTGAGTGGGGGGGGTGATAAACTTTTCTTTTTTGTTTTTTTCTTTTTCTTTCTTTTAAAGATTTATTTATTATATATACACAGTATTCTGCCAGCATGTATACCTGCAGGCCAGAAGAGGGCACCAGATCTCATTATAGATGGTTGTGAGCCATCATGTGGTTGCTGGGAATTGAACTCAGGACCTCTGGAAGAACAGCAAGTGCTCTTTTTTTTTTTTTTTTTGGTTTTTCGAGACAGGGTTTCTCTGTATTGTTTTGGAGGCTGTCCTGGAACTAGCTCTGTAGACCAGGCTGGCTGCGAACTCACAGAGATCCGCCTGCTTCTGCCTTCTGAGTGCTGGGATTAAAGGCATGCGCCACCAACGCCCGGCCAGTCAGTGCTCTTAACCCAAGCCAACTCTCCAGGCCTTTTGTGTGTGTGTGTGTGTGTGTGTGTGTGTGTGTGTGTGTGTGTGTGTGTGTGCCTGTGCTCCTGAATGCAAGTGCACTTAGAAGCCAGAAATGGGCACTGGATCCTCTGGAGCTGGAGTTACAGGTGACTGTGAGACTCCCAGTGTTTGTTCTGAGGACTGAAGTCAGATCTGTGAGAGCAATATATACTCTTACCTGCTCTTATTAGCAGCCTCCAAACTTGCATATTATTATTATTACTATTATTATTAATTTTGAAACACGCTTTCACTATGTAGCTGTGGATGTCCTAGAACTCACTATATAGACCAGGTTTGCCTTGAACTCACACAGATGTACCTGCCTCTGCCAATGAGTGCTGGGATTAAAGGCGTGAGCCACCACACCCAGTGAAACCTGCATTTTAAAAGAAATTTCACATTTTTTATTTTATGTGTGGGGGAGGGCGCATGCACGCACACAGTGTTTTGAGTCCAGAAGGGGTCAGATCCCTGGGAAATGAATTCTAGATATCTGGAAAAGCAGCAAGCATCCCTCACCCCCCAAAACAAGTTTTCTCTGCGTCTGGCTGTTCTGGAACTCTCTGTAGACTAGGCTGGTCTTGAACTCAGAGATCCACCTGTGCTGGATTAAAAGCGTGTGCAGCCACCCCACCTGCAGCAAGTACTCTTAACTGCTGAGCCACAAACCCTTGGCTTTCGTTTTTTTTTCTGAGAGGAGGTCTCAGGCAGTGTAGGCTGGTATTGAATTTACTACTGAGAGGATGACCTTTAACCCCTGGCCTTCTGGCTCCACTTCCCAAGTGCTAGGGTTATAAGCACTCACCACTGTGTGATGATCACGAGCTCTTTAAACTATTGAGACCAGGTATAACTTACACTTCAGAGCAGATATTAAATGGTATGCCTTTAGGGTGGGGACTCAACTGTGGGTGGGGGTTTTCAGCCTCCTAAATCTCTATATCTTTCATTTCATTAATGTACACATTGAGTAAGTTAATCAAAAGATCATTCTTTTAATCCCAGTACAAGAGGAGTGCTATGAATTCCAGGCAATCCTGGGCTACCTAGCAAGTCCCTGACTCAAAAATAAAATAAAGGCAAGCACTTCTTTTTTGTTTGTTTTTGTTTTTTGTTTTTCAAGACAGGGTTTCTCTGTATTGTTTTGGAGGCTGTACTGGAACTCGCTCTGTAGTCCAGGCTGGCCTCGAACTCACAGAGATCTGCCTGCCTCTGCCTCTAGTTCTGGGATTAAAGGCGAGCGCCACCAACGCCCAGCGGCAAGCACTTCTTTAAGCACCTCCTATATGCAGAGCCTGGGAAAGGCGTTGTAGCTATGTCGAACATCAGGATGTTGGCTGGCAGAGGAGAGCTTAAGGTGAAAACACTTATGATAGCTTTCATTGCCTGGGAACCCACTGCAAATGCTGGGCTGAAGCCTGAACCTGCTAATGTCACAAGTTTAACCCTCAGAGCATTGTAGCTGAATCCTTACATCCACTAGTCAGAAAAGGCAACTAGAACTCCGAGGTTAAAGGGTTTACACGCAGCAAGCTCATCTTTCTGTCACACTGTTCAAGACTGCTTCAGAACTATGAATGAATAGGGAAGGGCAGTCCTCTGGAGGGAAGCTTCTGGATTTCTGCTTCTTTGCCTCTATCGAAGTTGTTTCTTCTGTTTTCTGGGTTGTTATTTTAAGGTACTAGTGGAGATGGGTGAATCTGAGCAACAATGGCCTTCATTCCTCCGTTAGAGTGTAAAACTCTCACAAACGCTGGTTTTTAAGAATCCAGCCTTGCGGCGCATGGTGGTGGCACGTGCCGGTAACTCCAGCAACTGCGACGCTGATGCAGAAGATAAGTAGATGAACTCTGTCCAAAAGAGAGATACATCCTTAAGTGAACTGCCGCACGCACTTAGTCCAGGAGATACCAGCTGCGGATCCTTCATCTTGAAGTCCAGGAGGGCCTTTCGAGTAGGCAAAATTGTGTAGGAGCCTGCGGGATGGAGCTATCAGGCCAGGAGAGCAGAGAACGGGCCGTGGGGCGGGGCGAACTGGCCGTGGGGAGGGGCGATCTAGCGATGGGGCGGGGCGAACTGGCGATGGGGCGGGACTCTGGAAGTGTGGCTGGGCGAGTTTGGGGTGGGGCGGGGCGATCTGGCTGTAGGGCAGGGTGAGAGGGGCGTGGAGAAAGGCGAGTCGGCTGTGGGGCGGGGCGATCGGGACGTAGAACCGGTGAGCTGGCCTTTGGCTGGGTGGTCGGACCGTGGGAAGGGCTATCAGCCTGTGGGGAGGGGTAAACTGGTCGTGGGGCGGAGTGAGCTTGAGTCCACGCCCCTCCAGGCTCGGGGAAGTGACGTGTGCGGACAAAGGCAGAGGCCGCGAGGTGTCTGGTCCGGTAGGTTGGTGGCGGCCGCCGTGGGCTCCGGTCCCTTCCAGCCTTCTTGTCTCGCCCTTGTCTCTCGGGTCCCGAGAGCACCCTCCCGGGTGAGTAGCGCGAGGTGGACAGAGGGGACGCGGCTAGGGAGGAGGGCGGTACTCACTCCAACTGCCCAAAGCGGTGAGGCCCGGTGGTCAGGTGACCCAGGCCTGTCCCACGTGCGTGTCCCGGGGAGTCCTCCGACCCGACCTGGGCAGGGACTTCGGTGACCACGGACCGGGTTAGAGAAAGCCACGTTGTCGGAAGCTGGCAAGACTTGTACCCTCCCCACCCGCGCCCCTGAGCCACTGAAAGGCCCTTTCCAGTCCTCAGTTTCCCCTCTGAGATAAAATAGCACCTACTGCAAGGCTGGTGTGAGGAACTGTCGCCGTGCTAGGCTCACGTCCTCGTGGCTAAGTGCCCGGTCGCACAGATTGCTATCACGTTTAACTAGCTCCAGCTCTGACCAACACGGCTACAAGCATGAGCCCTTGGGACCAAGGTCAGCCTCTTTGCAGGGAGAGGCTTTGCTGCTGTACCGACTGTGAGATCATTTCTGCCTTTTATCCTTTTGGTGAGGGGTTGGAACAGCTGGTGGCAGAGGCCCTGACTGGGGTGATGCAGCTGATGGTATGGTCACCAGTGAGATGGGACGAGCCACTAGGAGGGCCCAGAACTACATGAGACGCCCGGATCCTGTCCTTAGTTTTGGTCCCTGTTTGCTATGTGGTGTTTTAAGGCAGGTCATTTCCTTCCTCAGATGGTTTTCCCCTGTAAACTGGGGGCGGGGGGGGGGGTGCTGTGGGAGTGTTGGAAGTACTTGTGGAATGCTCTACTGGAGGCCAGAAGAAGTCAGAGTTTTCAACTGTGAGATAGTTCTGAGTGTACAGGAAGGGAGAGTGTGTGTTTGTATCTTCCAGATTGACCATCAGTTTCTCTGGTCATATGACCTCATAGAACCTTCCTAGGGTCTATGGGATCGGGGGTTTTAACATTTTCCTCACTTGATCTTCTTAAGATTTGTGTTTGAGATTTTTGTTTTGTTTTGGTTTTTCGAGACAGGGTTTCTCTGTATTGTTTTGGAGGCTGTCCTGGAACTCACTCTGTAGACCAGGCAGAGGCAGGCCTCAAACTCGTAGAGATCCTCCTGCCTCTGCCTCCTGAGTGCTGGGATTAAAAGCGTGGGCCACCAGCGCCTGGCTTTCCTGGCTTTTTTTTTTTTTTCTTCTTTTTTCTCGGTGTTTGAGATTTTTAAGTTCGGTTTTGTGTATTGGGGGCTGTACATGTGAGTGCAGGACCCTTGGAGGCCAGAAGAGGGCACTAGACCATAGGAAATGGAGTTACTGGTGGTCGTGAGGCAGCCAGAGTGGGGTGCTGAGAAGAGCAGCCAGGGCTCTGGCGCTGAACAATCTCACCAGCGCCTCTTTGAGAACTAAAAGCTCAAGAGAGTATACACCTTCCACTGTGGGTCACCTGACTTCCCAGAGGCACATGTAGTCACTACAACATTTCCATGAAGTTCAGCGTCACTGTCCTCATTGAATAAAAACCAAGAGCTGGGCAGTTGTGGTGCACACCTTTAAGTTCAGCACTCCAGAGTCAGAGGCAGGTAGATCTCTGAGCTCAAGGCCAGCCTGGTCTACAAGAGTGAGTTCCAGACCAACCAGGGCTACATAGGGAGAGTCTTTCAGAAACAAACAGTAAACAAGCAACAATAACAACAAAAAACCAGTGGAAAAGGAAGAACATTGAGGTAAAGCATTTGGTTTATTTATTCATTTATGCTGTGACCTTGAGGTGAGGGCTGTGTGGTGGAGCTGTACATCTGTAACTCAGGTTTTTTTCTTCTTTATTTTTTGATAGAATGTTTCATGTAGTCTAGGCTGGCCTCAAAGTCACTTTGTAGCCCAGGATGACTTGAACTTCAGACTCTCCTGTTTCCACCTCTGGAGTGCTGGGATGCCGGGCATGAACCATGCTTTTAGGGTGCTGTGGCTTAAACCCAGGGCTTTGTACATATTAGGCAAGCATTCGGCCAACTGAACTATTTTTGTTTCCTTTTTTCTTTTTTTTTTTTGGTTTTTCGAGACAAGGTTTCTCTGTGGCTTTGGAGGCTGTCCTGGAACTCACTCTGTAGACCAGGCTGGCCTCGAACTCACCGAGATCCGCCTGCCTCTGCCTCCCGAGTGCTGGGATTAAAGGCATGCGCCACCAACGCCCGGCTGTTTTCTTGAAACAGGGTCTCACTGTGTTGTTCAGGCTAGTCTTGAACTCCTGATCCCCCTGCCTCAGCCTCAGCCTCTTGAATGCTAGGAATATAGGCATTACACCATACCCAGCTAAGTGTTAGTTCTAAGCTTACACAGCTGGTGAGAAGAGCCAAGGTTCAGGTACAGTTCACCCTACTCTCAGAGCCATTTGTTGCCTTGTTTTGTTTGGAGATAGGAGCTCACTGTGTAGACCAGGCTAGCCTAGAACTCAGAGATTTCCCATCACACACGGCATATTTTTATGTTTTGAGACAGGGTTTCTCTGAGCAGACTATTTTGGCCTTGAACTCAGGGATCCACCTGTCTCCACCTCTGGAATGGGATTAAAGGCCTATGCTGTCACACCTGACACACTTTTTATCTTGAATTGAACCTTGTGTGGCTGGGGGCTAGAGAGATGACTCAGAGATTAAGAGCAAGCCCTGGCTACTCTTCCAGAAGGTTCTGAGTTCAATCCCCAGCAACCACATGGTGGTTCACAACCATCTGTACTAAGATATGGTCCCCTTTTCTGGCCTGCAAGCATGCATATAGGCAGAACACTGTATGCATAATAAATAAATCTTTAGAAAAAACAAAAACTCGTGTGGTGCCCAGTGGTGATGGTGTCTCACGCCTTTAATCTCAGCACTTGGCAGGTTAGAGGCAGGTGGGTCTCGAAAAAACAAAACAAACAACAGCCTTGCATGGCTAGAGCCAGGCTCCCTACCTTCTCTTCTGTTTCCTCTCCCACCACCCCCTTCTCCTTCCCTCTCCAGAGCGCTCCTCACAGGTCCAGCTGCTGTGCATACAGATCTAGAACAGGCCCCGCCCACCAGGCTGTGGCGGCCTCTAACTTTAGACAGGGTTTTGTTTATTTTGCCTCCAGTTGCTTTCATGCTTTCTCAAAGGAATGTCACAGGGTGTGGTGACATCACTTTCTTCTCTGGATCCTGGGAGAAGAGACTTAGCAAGGCAGCAGCCCAGGTGGCTATGACTCTGAGGATGTGCAGGTGACAGTCGGCCATGAGCAGGAGGCCGGTCTTCCCATGAGCCAGCCTAGCATACACACACAGCCACACTCTCCTGATGGCTCCCGCCCGTGGCATGCAGTCTCCTGTAGCAGGGGGTATTTTTCTTTTTTGATTTTCTTTTTGTTTTATTTTTTATTTTTTGTAACACAGGGTTTCTCTGTATAGCCCTAGTGGTCCTGGAACTCGTTTTGTAGACCAGGCTGGCCTCAAACTCACAGTGACCCGCCTACTAGCATTAAAGGCATATACTGCTACCATTGCCACCTGGCTGGGGGTGGGGGATGTTTTTCTTAATGTCCCTAATTTTTAGGAGCCTTCAGGCTGCTCAGTGGACACTAGAGGTCCATGTTAGGGCAGAGCCTCAGAAAGCACACTTTTTTTTTGTTTGTTTTTCAAGACAGAGTTTCTCTGTGTAGCTTTGGAGCTGGCCACGAACTCACAGAGATCCGCCTGCCTCTGCCTCCCGAGTGCTGGGATTAAAGGCGTGCGCCACCGCTGCCTGGCAGAAGCACACATCTTCATGAATCAGCTGTGAGAACTAATCAGCCTTGGACTCGCATCCCGGCCTGACTGTGTTCCTTCTGCTTGGAGCCCACCCTGACCCCCAACCCCAGCTGCTTCCTAGAGGCAAGGGGGGTTCTTGTAAATTAGATTTTTCAGCTTTGACATTTAAAGGAATTATGTTGTAGGCTTTGGGTAAAGCAGGAAAAAAAGAGTGTTGATAACAGCCTGCAGTGTCAACCTGTTTTGGATGGGCGGTGTAGGCACCTCTAGGAGTGAGAAATGGTCACGGGTGTGTGTGCTCACCCAGCTAGTTAGTGTCCTTGACTTTAGCACTGCACAGAGGGTGTGCCAGGCCATGGCCCTCCTCACAGGAGGAGGCAGAGTGGCCGAGCGCCTCCCTTATCCGACTTTCCTGTCCTCAGGTAAGAACCGAATGTTGTGTTGGATGTCTGTGTGCTACATGCAAAGCTCTGAAGTCCTCGCCTTCGGTGTTAAAGACAGCTTTGAACTTTGAGAATTTGCTTAGGACTTGCGGGCAGCAAGGGGCATGGCTGTTGCTGGGCCAGCATTAAGCTGGTATGAAATGGAAGAGGACTGGATGCTGTCGTAGCTGGTAGTCGCTAGGGCTCTGGGACATAGTTGCTGTGGTGCCTGGAGAGGTACCTGACAGCCCTCTTGTCCCAGGTCATCCTGTTAGTCCCCCGCCAGGTACATAGTGACTTTCAGGCTGGCGTTTCCTGTCTAGTCTGGAAATTGTACTGTTCTACTTGTAGAGGCGGTGGCCCTCTTCACACTCCTTTGTGGGCCGGAGACTTCACAGCTGAAGGCTGCCACTGTCCTCCCTGGGTCACTATGTAGCATACCACTGTCTTCCCTGGGCCATTGCTGCTGCTGCTGGGGCATTGTGGTAAAGGAATGGGTATTTAGAACCAGAGTCTCCAGCCTGTCACACCAAGGGCCTCTTGGGGATGCAGGATGGCCGTGTGTCTTCCTTTGGCCCCAAACCCTTGTAATGAAGAGTGCAGTTGTGGTGCTCTGGGGCTGGTGACAAGTGGGGCCACTTTGATTTTCTTGTGTACTTAGCGGAGACCTCGCAGCAGCCCTGGAGCTGTTCTGGTGTGGGCCTGCCTGTTCTTGGCTCGCAGGGCTGCTTTGCTCTTCTCCTGGTTCCCATGTTGACAGTCCGCATTGGGCTGTGACTCAGGTGCTCAGCAACACTGCCTGTCATGGTGGTACCCAGGTGGGCAGGCTCCAAGGTTGTCGTGTTCCTGGGCATCCCAGCATTCTTTCTGACTCTCCAGGCTTTGCCCTGGGGTGAGACACTGTCGCCTTCAAAGGGCCTGTGTCATTGGCCATGAGACATGGCACCGAGGGCCCAGCTGGTGAGGTGTGAACTTCAGGGTCCTGTCCCACGAAGCCAGTGTTCTAGTGGAGACCCTTAAGTTCAGGATAGCATCGAGGGAACAAGCTGCCTGGCTGGGAAGAGCAGTGTGTGGACCCTTTGGCCTTGGGCAGGGCATTTAGTTTCCATGTGGCCCGGTTTCCTTTTCTGCGTAGCGGGTAATGGTGGTATCTACTCCCGGGGGAAGCATGGGTGCTAGGCAGTGCCTGAGCAGCAGCCGTCACTGTCGTCCCTGCTGCTGTTACTCGTTCTGCGACTTTTAGCACTGCTGCTGCTGCGGCCACTCCTGTCTGACACCCTCAGGCTTGTCCTGGGCACTTCCTTGCTCGTTGGAAGTTTAGGGTTAGTTTTGAGACTGACAGCTTTGGGAGCGACTCAGCCAGCATGCACTGGCAGGCTACAGTTCAGGGCTGGTCCTCTGCAAGTCCTCCTCTTCCTCCTCCGCTTCCCACCCACTACCATTCTGGCCTGTGCCCACACCATGCTGCTCACTGTGCCGCCACTTGTCCCCACTCAGAAAGAAGTCCTCTAGAGCTTTCACAAGGCTCTTGCCGTGGAGAGCTTACCTAGTGGTGTGAGGACTGTGTTCCACTCCCAGTTCTGGAAACATGGGAAAGGGGTCCTGAGTGCTCACACCCTTTCTGAAGCCACATCAGGGCAGAGGAGTCCTTGTCTTCTGCTGCGTTTAGCTGCTTTCTGTTTTCTAATCTCCTACGGGACTCTGCACATCAGATCCTCCAAGGAGCTGGGACAGAGGAGCGCCAGCCGCTTCTGCTGTTTGATCACGTGTCCTCCACAGCACGTGGACAAGCTGGTGTGGGCGCCACCAATCCAGTGTCACTCTGCCGAAGGGCAGGCTGGGCCAGGGCTGGACTATGGCTGTGATTCCCTTGGCTTTATCCCCACATTTTTCCTCAGCTACCCACAGTGTTCAGGAGCCCAGGGTTCCTCATGACATTCTTGCTAAGCCTTCCACCTGATTTTTTCTCCTCACTTAGCCAACTCCTGCTCATCCATCACTGTGGGCACCGTGCTCCTTCCCTGGGGTGCTCCCTCCCTCCCTCAGTGGCCTCTGGCTATGTTCTCCTTACTGCTGCGGTTCTGTGTGTGCCTAGCTCCTGCCATTGCTTCCTGGGACACAGCTTGGCGCCTGGCAGAGAGCCTGCTCTGGAGTGAAGGGCTGGTCCTCCCTGAGACATGAGAGTTTCTCAGACCTCCTGGGTGGTCTCCTGAGGTGTCCACAGCAGAAGGCAGGGGACGCTGCTCTGGGTCCTTTGCCTGTCCTGAGGTTGTAGGTCATCAAGTCAAGAGTCCCATAGATTCAGAAACCAGACAGTACATTGCAGGGACCCTGGCAAAATGGGTGCTGGGTTGTTATCCAAGAAGTAGGGGACTGTTTAGGTGGCTGGACATTGCTTTCTCTAGACAGGGCTTTGCGCCTCACACAGTACCCTAGAGGCTCCCTGCCATCTGATGCCCTGCTCGTTTTTCTCTTCCTTCAGAGAAGTGAAGCTGTGGTTCGTGACAACACGGCCAGTGACATCATGACAAGTGAGGTGATTGAAGATGAGAAACAGTTTTATTCGAAAGCCAAGACCTACTGGAAGCAGATCCCACCCACGGTGGACGGCATGCTTGGGGGGTATGGCCACATCTCCAACATCGACCTCAACAGCTCTCGGAAGTTTCTGCAGAGGTTTCTAAGGGTAGGCAGGTGTGATGTCCTCTCCAGGAGAGGCTGTGGCTCTGGTGGGGGCAGTGTGGGGGCCACTTCCACACACCACACTGCAGGCTCTCCGGGAAGTCATCTGTTGGCGGCTGCCACCAAGGCCTTGAAGAGCTGGCTCGGGTGGTGATTGGGTGATTGGGTGGGTCTTGTGGACTGAGTTTTGTCTCCAGGCCATGAGTCAGGAGCTGGCCATGTACTGGGGACTCAGCTGTGTCAAAACTGAGCCATCTGGGATCAGCCCTGCTGGCTGTGGGTGGTGACTGTCCTGTGACTCCTTGTCCTGCTGCTGTCTGTCTTCCCTTCTCAGCTTGTTGCCGCATGGGGTGAGCCCTGCAGGAGGCCCTTACTTTCTCCACCCCCACGGCCATTTTCCCATGGTGCTCTGCAGTTGCCCTGCCTGCATTTTCTGCATCCTTAGCGCTGTCAGCCTGGGGACTCCTGAGTGAAAGGAGATTGTGCGCCTGTTTTTCTAGCTGAAGGAAGCTGCCTTCAGCCTTAGAAAGCGTTCCACTTGCCCCTTATGCTAGGCCAGTCAGGCCTCCCTCTGCTTCCTGGGACTCATGAGCAGGGCCCTGCAGTGGCGGTGCCTCGTGGGTCACGTGTTGCCCTGTGTTTCAGGAAGGACCGAACAAGACGGGGACCTCCTGTGCCCTGGACTGTGGTGCTGGCATTGGAAGGATCACCAAGCGCCTGCTCCTGCCGCTCTTCAGGGTGGTGGACATGGTGGACGTGACAGAGGACTTTCTGGCCAAAGCTAAGACCTACCTGGGGGAAGAGGGCAAGAGGGTGAGGAACTACTTCTGCTGTGGGCTGCAGGACTTCAGCCCAGAGCCCAACTCCTATGATGTGATCTGGATCCAGTGGGTGATAGGTAAGAGTCCCATGGCCATTCCCCATGCTCACCATTCCCCCGCCAGCCTTGGGAGCCTAGTTCTGCTCCCTCAGTGAGCTGGCAGCTGAGAGGCAACTCTCTCGCATTTCTTAGGACTGTGATGACACCTAAAGCCCGAGTCACTGCTGTCTAGGGGGACAATCCTAAAGTGGTCAGTGACACCGATTTGGAGATGTGAAAATGAGTTCTATAAGGATTATTCTTTTTAAATTCTTATCTTAGGAGCTAGAGAAATGGCTCAGCAGTTAGAGCACTGGCTGTTCTTGCAAAGGACCTAGGTTTGGTTCCCAGCACCGACATGGTGGGTGCTATTCAACCAAAGTTGTAGGGGGATGCAGTGCCTGTGCCCACCCAGTGCAAATGCATACATGCAGGCTGAACACCATACACATGAAAAGTAAAAACAAAAAACAATTAGGAAGATTTTCTTTCAGGACTTCTCTGTGTAGCCCTGGTCATTCTAGAACTGTAGACCAGGCTGGCCTCAAACTCAGAGATCTGTTTGCCTCTGCCACTGGGACATTAGCTGGACTAAAGGTGTGGTCGCCACCACCTGGCTAGAATTTTTGTTTTGGTTTTGGTTTTTTGAGACAGGTTTCTCTGTGTAGGCCTGGCTGTCCTGGAATTCGCTTTGTAGACCCGACTGGCCTTGAGCTCCCAGATCCACCTGTCTCTGCCTCTAACGTGGTGAGATTAAAGGCCATGAGCCACCATGTCTGCTTAGAAAGGATTTTTTAAATATTTAAAAATGTTTGAGTGCCTGCATGTCTTTGTACAATACCCATGGAGGCCAGAAGACGGCATCAGATTCCTCTGGAGTTGGAGCTACAGACAGCTGTGAGCTACCATGTGGGTGCTGGGAACTGAATCCTGGCCCTCTAGAAGAGCAGTTGGGGCTCTTAACCCAAGTCACCTCTCCAGTTCCTAAATCCTTATCTTTTTATCATGACCCCTCCCCCCACATCTCCTTATGTAGCTAAGATTGGCCTCAAACTCAAATCCTCCTGTCCAATGGTGGAGTCTCAGAGTGTACGGCCAGGGCAGGGCAGGGTGTTTGAACGATTTGAAAGTGTAATTCTGCACTCTTGCTATGGCAGTGGGGGTGGGGTGGGTGCCCGAATGGCCTCATGTGGACTGCTATACACAGGGATGCTGGCACTGGCAGATGCTTCCTCATGAGGGGGCTGTGGCTCTAGTGTGGACACTGGGCCTGGCCCTTGTGTTTGGGAGCTTCTGGCTCCACCCTCCCATCCAGGCCGGGAAGGGAGGTGGTCTGCTGTGCTGTGTCAGAGCTGTAGGGCCCCCAGTCGGGCTGAAGCCCAGCTTCTGATTCCACGTGTATGCTTTTGTCTGGGTGACTTCAGACATGAAACAGGGTTTAAGACAGAGACACCAGCACCTGCTGGTGCACAGACACACAAACACATGCATTCACACACATGCGCACACAGCTTCTGTTTTCCCCAGGCCACCTGACAGATCAGCACCTGGCTGAGTTTCTGCGCCGCTGCAAGCGGGGCCTGCGCCCCAATGGCATCATTGTCATCAAAGACAACATGGCCCAGGAGGGTGTGATCCTGGATGATGTGGACAGCAGTGTGTGCCGTGACCTTGAGGTGGTACGCCGCATCATCCGCAGTGCGGGCCTCAGCCTTCTGGCCGAGGAGCGCCAGGAGAACCTGCCAGATGAGATCTACCATGTCTACAGCTTTGCCCTGAGATGAGGCTGGGGCCAGCAGCTGGCGGGCTGCTACACACACCTGCTGTCACCTTTGACTCCAGTGGGGAGGGACAAGCCCTGGGAAGGTGTGCTGTGGATTGGGCAGTGCCCTGTCACTCCAACGCATCCTGGCAACTCCCCACAAGTTGCCACCTATAAGACTGGCTGCCAAGGATCTCGAGTATATGAACTGCTGTGTCTGGACAGCCAGGAGAGCCACACTCGGTGCCTGTCAGATGGTACCACTTTCAGGAATGGTCACATCCCAGATCCTCTTTGGTGATGGGTCCCAGCAGCCTTAGTAAGGGAAGGCTTCCCCACCTCTTCCTCCTCGGGAGCTCCTCCCTGATAGGCACTGCAGTCAATAAAAGGGTGAGCCCTGTTCTCAAATGCCCGGGCAATCTGGAGTTACGCCGTGTGGGGACATGTGTAAGATTACTTGAAAGTGCCGATCTGTCACACAAGGACACCAATATTTAATCTTATAAATATTTTTAATCACCTCTGCTCACTCCGAAAGGCCAAGCTGCCTGGGAAGGGCCTGCAAGGGCTGAGCACTAGAGAGGAAAGCCAGCTTGTGGCCTCAGTGTGTCTGGGGAGTCCCTCACAGACCCAGGCCCTTGAGACAGTCTGTCTTGTGTTCATGACAGCTTTAAGCAAGCCCTGGGTGTGGCATGAGCAGAGCTGCCACCAACCACAGATCACTAAAGGCTATAGGATGGGGCAGGCCTCTAATCCAGAAGACCACCACCACCCGATAGCCTCAGTGCCATCTCTAGCACCTCAAAGCACCGTGAGACTTGAGGTGGCAGAGCAGGGCCTACCTGGGTGGTCCAGAGTTTTGGCACTGGTCCCTGAAAGACCAAGGTATGTACCTCCCCCCAGAGTCAATCAGCCGCCAAAGCTCCGAGGGGCCTGGCCTCAGCTTACCTGCCTGCTCAGCTCCCCCGACTCAGAGGGCAGATGTGTCCTGTCCACGCCAGCCCCTCCAATGTGGCTGACTTGAGAGTGCAGAGGGAGGAAGGAGTGGGGGTATCCCAGGGGGCAGCCATGCCTCTGGCCCCTGGGGCGGGCACTGCCCTAGTTGTTACATGTCAGTGAGGGCAAGGCTTGCCCAGATGAAGACCCTCCGAAGGCTGTGGCAAGTAGCAGGTCTGCCCGCAGGTTGGCTTCAGCCCCAACGGTTCCACAGCAGGCCGTCAGCAGCTGTCCTCTGTGCCGCTGTGTGCACTGAGCAGGTACCACTTGAGCCGGTCAGGCAGGGGCAGGGCTTTGACCTTGGTGTCCACAGGCCACGGCCTCAGGCACAGCCGGATGGACACACGGCACAGGTGTTTGAGAGGCGGTGGGTAGCTCTCCAGCTGCCTCAGGGAGGCGTGCAGGGCCCGGATCTTCCCCGCCAAGCTACCCACTGGGTGGATATTGAAGTTCTCAGGCAGCTGGAGCCTCTGGGAGCTAGTCACCATGAGGTCCAGCACCGTCTCGGCCTTGTGCAGAAGCTCAACGTGGCTGGCATCTTCAGCGCAGCCCGGGTGGGAACACAGCCTCTCAAAAATGAGGTTGAAGCCAGACCAACAGGATGCACCGTGCAGGGAACAGTTGTAGGCAGCCCCAGACTCCAGCAGGAAGCGCAGGAGGGGAAAGTGCAGCTTGAAGCTCTTGAGGCAGATGTGTGTGAGCGACTCGTGGGCTGGGCACTCACTGGGGTCAGCCCCATGGGCCAGCAAAAGCTGTGTCACTTGGAAGCAGAAGCGGTTGATCATCGGGGCCTCCTCCTTGTCCCCACAGACAGTCTCACCAAGCAGGAAGATGATACATGTGAACACAGTGTCCCCGTCTTTGGTGGTGGCCTTGACATCTGCCCCTGGAAGAGCCATGGAATAAAAGTGAGAGAAGGCCAGCACAGCGGTGGGGGGTGAAGAACAGAGGGCGTGACAGCTGCTGTGGACAGATGTGGACCTCACCTCCCTCCAGGAGGAGCCGGATGTTTTCTGTGTTGTGGATCTGCACTCCATCACTGCTAGCCAGAGCGTGCAGCAGCGCTGTCTTCCCTAGGAAGGAGAGGAGGATGAGGCCAGTGTGCCCACAGATGGGTGGAAGCGGGAATCTCAAGGCTGAGGGAAGAGCAGCTGGATTTTCATTCACACAATAGGAACAAAAGGGTCAGCAAGGTCAGGACCCGTCTGCATCCACAGACACAGGGTACACTCACTTCTTAAAGATGCCTTCTGAGGCAGCATGGGGACAGTGACCATACTCTCCAGGATGCTGGATTCAGGAAGGCTGGTACCCTCCTCCTGTATGCCAGCTGTGGCTACGCCATCCTCTGGGGTCAGCCCCAGATGCTCACCTGGCTAGCCCCAGAGATGGCCAGCCTCTCAGGGAGGCACTCACCATTCTTGTCAGCTGCATTGACATCTGCTCCAAGATCCAAGAGGCGCTGTAGGCAGGGCAGACGCTCAGGTTCCTCGCTGGCCAGATCTAAGGGGCTGCTCTCATGGATCTGAGCAAAAGCATAGCAGCCATGTTGGCCTGGGGCCTGAAAAGCTGGTTGGTAAATGTACCACATACACCCAAGCTGACTGGACCCAACTCTTACCCGGTCCCTCCGGTTGATGTCAGCCCCATGGCGCACCAGCAACTCCACCATGTCGGGCTGGTTTCTCAGGACAGCGATGTGCAGGGCTGTGTAATAGGTGACAGGGTCTGGACGCAAAGAAGTATAGGTCAGTCCATTCTCAAAGGTTCGGGGGCTGACCTCAGAGGCTCTCCCTAGCACTGCTACCTCAAGTGACAGATGCGAGGCCTGCTGGCGAGTTCCAATGGGAATGCAACTGATCCGTGTTGGCCTCAGTCTCCTCTGTATTTCCCCTCAGGACTGTTCCCAAGGAGCATGCAGAGTGGCTGCTGTGTTCAGGCCTGCACCATCACTGCCTTGTGTTTTCTTGAGCCAGGCTCTCACTACAATGCCCTGGCAGGCCTCGACCTTGTCAGGTATCCCAGAATCACTAAAGACCCTTCCGATGGCGCAGGCCTTTAATCCCAGCACTCGGCACAGGCAGGCGGATCCCTGACTTAGAGCCAGCCTGCTGGTCTACAAAGCTACACAGAGAAACTCTTTGGAAAAAGCAAAACAAACAAACAAAAAACAAAAACAAAAAAAAACTTCTGCTTCAAGCCAGGTGGCCACATGGAAGGGCTTTGGAATAGACACCCCTTTCTGCTCACAGGGTTCCCAGGAAGGTGCCTGCAGCCTCTGAGCATGGTTTCCAATGAAAGGCACTAAGGCTGTACTGTGTGGGTCAGCACTGGCGGCACACTAGCTGTTTCTATCTCCTGGGTAACAGCCAGTGACAGGATAGGAAGTTGGCCCTTCCTCATCCCGATGCTTAAGAAACCTATGAGGCTTGTAACTGATGCCTGGTATGGCTTATCTTCCCACCTCTAGGGTCTAAGCCAAACTTGCAGGACAGCTCAGAGTCACAGGAAACTACCTTCCCTTAGCACTGCCAGGGCAATTTCACCATAATAGAAGTGGGATTAATCTGCAAGCTGGGGAAGTTTGGCAACTTAATCTATGACAGAAGCAACACCACTCTGTGGGAGTAGAGGCGCTATGAGCCGCTTGGAAAGCCTACAGGAATGGGGAGCCACCCAATGGAGAAGAGGAAGGAAAGTCACCCCGCAGAGAAGAGGAAGAGCAGCGGCCAGGCCTGGCTGCCTAGCCCTGGCCCCCTGGGGATCCTGCTGACCTTCAAAATTGAGGTTGGCCCCACTCTGCAGGAGGACAGCAGCTGCCCGAGTCAGCCCCAGCTCAGCCATCTTCAGCAAGGCATTGCTCACGCCTTCCTGGTAGAACGGAGAGTGGGCCTTCTGCTCCAGCAGCTCGGTGAGGACCAGGATGCGGCTCTCCTCGCCGGCGGCGTAACTGCACATCAGAGGCAAAGCAGATGCAGTGGGAACGCTTGGGGACCAGCCGCCCTACCCTAGGTGCACGATCAACCACAAGAACTGCTCAGACTCGGTGGGGCAGAGAGGCCTTTCTCGGTCAAGCCTGAAACGGTTTCAAAGCCATCCTTCGGCTTGCTACCAAAGGCTGGTTCTGTCCAGCTCTGTCTCTCACCACCCTGAAGGTGGCCCCAAAGCGCTCTCCCTTCCTTGTCAACACACCTACTAAGAACTTCTTGGGCCTTGTCCCAGCTCTGACAACGGCCCAATCACCTTCACCTCCAACTTCTCTCCACGAAGTTCATCACTCGCTCTTCTCCCTAATCTCACGCACCAGACCTCCTGTAATAGGTTGGCCCCGAGATTCGACCAACGCCGGGACACAAAAGCTTATCTGGGGCAGCCCTCCGGAATATGTTAGGCTCCGCCCACGGAGGATGGCAGCGCCTTGATGTGCAGCCCTGCAGCCCAGCCTCGGAGTTCTGGAAAAGCCTCGCAATGCACTTACAGAGTAGGTCTCAGAGGAGAGAGCTGATGTGGGTTAGAAAAGACTTCCCTGCTGAGACCGACAATTGGTGTCTGCAACTGCAGTTCATGCCTCTCCCTATGCCTCACCTCTGCCCACTCCACCCCATGCATCGCACACCACGCGGCTGGTCTGGGTGCTCTCCTGTCGCAACGCTCCCAATACCCGGGGAGTCCTGCACAGGGCACAAGAACCACACCCGCTTCCTTCCTCAGAGAGGCCTGCTGTCTGCAGAAAGCGCGCTCGGCCACAGCCAGCTCGTCTCCTCCCGGCATTCATGCACGGGAGCGGCGCCGAGGTTCAGGTCCTCTGCCTTGCAAGACACTGCGGGCTCGCCTCGGGCTGGAGCTCGCGCTCGGAGCCACACAGCTCCCGCCGCGACAACCACAGGGTCCACAGCCACTCACTCGTCCAGGGGCTCCTGCCGCTCCAGGTCCTGGATGCCCAAGGCGCCCAGGATGGCGTCCACCAGGGGCTGGTACTCGAAGATGATCCTGCGAAAGCCGTGCAGGAACGGCATGGCGACGGCCGTGCGTCCCGACACCCACACGCCACCACCTCTAGAGCTATCGGTTCAGACCCCGCGCCGGTGACCAGTCCTCCGCTCAGGCCGCGGTTCCGCACCGGAAGTGACTCTACCACCCACTTCCGGTTCGCGCGGGCCGGTGAGGGCTCAAGTTTGGCCACAGTGCCCCCTGCCGCCCCGGAGGACCTCACGGCACTCCTCACTGCTCTGGCTCCTCCCCGACGGAGCTGCTAGAGGGCGTCCGAGATGATGCAGACCCTGTTCCAAGCCAGAACACTGCTCCCTGCAGCCACTCCTTAAGGAAGAGCTGCAACCACTTCAGTCTCCACGCAGCATGCAGGCTGCGAGCATAATGAGGACTCTGCACCCAACTCTTCCCCACAGACACTG